AAACTATAAGAGCCACACGGATAACGCAGCTTATTGCTACCGCCATCTCACACAGAAAAATAGATCGTGCAATATGTAAAACAACTCAGTGCAATATTTACCACAGACGATGATAGTGAAATTCTATCGTAGGTTTAAGTAAAACTTGACACTTTTATGGATCATTACATGTAAGCAATATATTTATTTTCTGCGTATATTTTTCTGTTTGTCTTTTATTGTTTTGTTAAATAATTTAATGCTGTGATAACATGAAATATAAAAATCAAAATGTATTTTTGTAGATCTTCCTGAAGATGCAATGTAACCCATTGCGAAATATCGGATTTTAATAAAAAAAACCCAGACCTAAAGCTCAAAGAAAAATTTATTTATTTAAATTACATTGGACAAGGTCGAATAAAAAACAAACTTGGAGAATTTATTTGTTCAGACACAACAAAAAATTATTTTCAGATAACGTTATAAACATTTATTGGACTATTTAAAACACACTACACACAATATTTACACTCAACACTTTAGCGACACTATCTGCTTAAGTTCACTTATCATAGATAAGTTAGGTAGTAGATAAGTAAGGTAGTATAGATCTTTAGTTAAATTACAGATCGAATTATCCTGTAAGGCATCGGGGTGGTTTGTTGATGACGGTAGAAGTAGTGGACTGTGATGCAAAGTTTGTTGTTTGATGATGGTAATGGTATATGCTCGATGTTGACAGCATGACATGGTTCGGTGTTTGTTGGTTATATTCAATGAGAGGATAGTGATGGGAAAACGTAGTAGGCAGCAGCTGAGCAATTCTTAAATTACACTGTTATAACATTAATGTATCGGATGTAATTAAGAGATCTCAGTACCCTAGTTAACTAACGAGCACAACTTCACCGAGTTAAGAGATTGGTACGTCGAAGAGTCTAAGTAACCCAACGCACAAGCAGTGCTCAAAACCGTGTACTAGCATAGACAAATAAATGCATAGACTAAAAAGTTGTCTCATCTGTTATCTCCGAAAAAATTGCTTCAATAGATGTCGTTCATGCTGTGAGAGAGAATAAGACTATTCACTCAATTCTCTCAAAATACAAAATATTGAATTTTTTTATGATTTATTATTATTTGTCAATTGAAAATTAAACAGTGACTTTTTTACATTGAAATTAACCAACTATGTAGTGAAATTTTAAAATATAGAACTTAAATAGTAGAAAAATGAATAAATTGTTTTCGAAGTCGAGTGACTTCACTAGCCCTGAGTGACTTTACTGGCCTAAGATCAACCATAGTGACATCTTCCGGAAGGGGTAAATTTTAAAACTTTGTAGTTTATGCATTTATTTGTCTATAGTGCTAGCACATGAATCTAAAAAATAGATTTTTTTAAAGAGAAAACAAAAGTTATATTTTTTTTTGCATTTACGCATTCATTTCAATACTTTTGAAATTGGATGTTGTATGATGTAAAGGGAATTATTAAGAAAAAATGTATAAATTATGTTTTAACGCTTTTTTATAATTTTTATGATTGGTTAGTCGAAGATTAGTTAACTCACACCCACTACTGCACAGAGTTAAGATATTTGTACGTCGAAAGGTCTGGGTACCCCAATTAACTCCACATATAACAACACGACAGTGTTTAGTGATTGGTACGTCAACATGTAACTCAACATGCAACTATCTGCACACTACTTTCCACAGTAAGTCAAGAGATCGGTACGTCAACAAGTTTTGCAACCCCACCTGACTATTTAGCTATCCACAGACAACTGATCCCGAATGACTGGTCGGTGGGGAATGGACAACCTATCGCGGACAACTTCTTTGTACACTATCGTTGTAGTGGCTTATTTTTCCGGTAGGGACGTCGTTGCTGTTGATAATAACTATTAGCCGTTAATTTAAATTTACACAAGTGATGCTCAGGATTAAATTCTAAAAAAAAAAACATTTTTTAGTTTTATTAAATCAAACAGAACATTAATCATTAATTTATTCATATGTATGTTATGTTAAATTATGTTTGTTTTGTAATTATGTTGATAATAACTATTAGCCGTTAATTTAAATTTACACAAGTGATGCTCAGGATTAAATTCTAAAAAAAAAACATTTTTTAGTTTTATTAAATCAAACAGAATATTAATCATTAATTTATTCATATGTATGTTATGTTAAATTATGTTTGTTTTGTAATTATGATTTTGACATTTCACACCATTTCGGAACGGTCTCTTGACAGAAAAGGATAAAATCGAAAAAATCCAAACTTTAACAACTACATCGGGAGGGATTGTGTTGCGACGTACTGCAGTAACGTAGTCCCCAGCGAGTCCACTTCTTCGTCGTCAACTTCTGAGTCGTCGTCGGAATATAGGGCTCCACCGCTGTATCCAGAACAGCGATCTTCACCGAAGCAATTAACGCCACATGTTGCTGTTCAAATTTCGTACAGTGCGTCATTCTTGCAATTCAATTCCAACGGACTCCGAGGTAAAATTGAAGAGACAGTGGATTTTATGAGTCGGAGGAATATTAAGATCGCAGCGGTGCAGGAAACCAAGCTCAATGAAAATTGTAGCTAACAACGTTGTTATGGTTACAACGTACTAAAAAAGGATCGCACCAGAAGTGGAGGTGGGGGATTTACGTTTCTGTTACACCAGTCTGTTTAGTACAGATGGAATGTATGGGGGTATCAGTCAAGTGTGGAACTGCCAAGGTAGAGGTGCTTAATGTGTATATCCCGCCGATTATTAGCTGTGAACCGCGTTATTTGCCTGATATTAGCCCATTGTTGGAAGGCAATAACCGCCTGGTACTAGGGGATTTTTATGCCCACAATGAGTTGTGGCATTCTGTCCTACATAATGACCAGAGGGAATCAGCACTGGCAGAGCAGATTGACTGTTCCACATTTTGCACGCCTAACGAGGATGCCCTCACCCTAATAAGAGGAGAATGTCACAGTTCGCCAGACTTAACCATAGTGTCACCCGGTGTGATAAATGACGTGACTTGGCAACCCGTAATTTCTCTTGGCTCAGACCAGACCCGATAATCGTCTCCATAAGCAGGTCGCCCGATTTCATAACCTCTGGACGCCACACTTTCCTTAAACAAGGGAATGCTCACTGACCAGAATTCCGAGAATTCACCATCGACAATTTGTTGAGCACCCCGAGAGCGACTGGGCGAAGCAAGAGTACTACGTCGTATCAGATCTCTTCCCGCTTAGGAAGAGACTCTGAGACTTCACTTCTTCCCAGCATTAAAGGAAAAAGAGACAAATAAAATTTGTCGTTTAGTATGATGTTTTCGATCTTTTATGTTACTCTTCAGACGTATCAACATCCACCACGTATATTCGAATCCTCATATTGTAAATTTGTTAAATTAAGCTATTTAACTACTATAAAAAGTATAGTATAATAATAAATAAATAGGGTACAAAAGTCACGTCAAATCCCATTAGCGTTGCTATATTCTCAATCAAATTTTCTCCAATATTCATAATTAGAAAAAGTAAAAAACAGTAAGTTCGGCCGCACCGAACTTTGAATACCCCATATGAAAGGAATTATGAAATTTTCCAAAAAATTTAAAAATACGAATATCGGAAGGTGCCGATATATGGGGCGATATACGATTGTGTACCTATAAAGACAATTCTCTTTCAGAGGGTATAGTACTCACAAGGAACTCCTTGTGTTGAATTTCAGACAATTCCATCGAAAAATGTGGCTAAAATTATCAAAATACCCAATCTCGGCGGGTACCGTTATATATATATATATATATATATATATATATATATATATATATATATATATATATATATATATATAATTTTCAATACTAACCATCCTAGACACAATACAAATTGTTCTGCTAAATTTTGACGCTCTACGTCAAATAATGGAGCTGTATCTTGATTTCAACTGACTGACGGACGGACATCGTTCGACTTAGAATTTTGTGCTAATTATGAATATATATACTTTATGGGGTCTTCAACGAATATTTAGAGATGTTACAAACGAAATGACAAAGTTAATATACCCTCCTTTCCAAGGTGGAGGGTATGACAACGTGCAACCTTTGGAACATGTATTACTTCACTATTTTTTAATATTATCTAATTGTTGAGTAATTTTATTAAAATTCCAACTTAATTCACGTATTTTCCTTTACAATGCTATTAATTTATTAAAACATTTTCTAGTACTAAAGTTGTACTCAGTAACGCCGACGGGTGCGAAAGCGCACCACCCCCTGCCCGAGCAATGGGTAGAGATAGGGTGCTGAATTTTTGTGCGCGGAATATGAGTGACATTATGGCATCCTCCACTAAGTTTCAACATTTTCCTCCCACAAATAAGGGAGCCGGCGTAAATGGGTTAATAGAGATTTTTCATTAGCATATAAGAGTGAGTCATCAGCATTCATAATACATGCTAATTACACAATCGTAGAATGTTTGGTGCATCATTTACATCAAACTAGAGGAGAATATGTATGGGAGCTATATCTAATTCAACATTTGCCAGAAGAATTTTCACGCTGCATGGGATACCTTGTGCCGATATCATTGTTGTCAAGCTTACACTACGTCTTTAAGTGGTTTACATATCAAATATGTATCATTGATATAGCTGTATCTGAATCGAGCATTACCTATTTACTTCTATTATAAGTTTAACTCCGAGTGCTAGAAATTAGTCATTTTGAAAAGATTATCATTAATTTCAATAGGTTTCGGCCCAGACCCAAAAACTAAACTTTGCAAGATGCTAACTCATTGCAGAGACATGCTCTAATTGACATAGTCTATTAAACTTATCAAAACTAAACATCGGTCTATTTCGCCTCCTTTTCAAAGGTATAATAACTTGAACCACAGCTTAGTGTACGGCATGATATACGTTTTTTAATTGCTTTAATCTACCGCAAAATTAAAAAAGAAAAACTATTTATTATTTTTTTTTTACTTTTAGGAATCAAATGCCTGAGTCCGAAGCATTATTTTCGATGTCCAAAAAAGTCTAAGCAGTTTTCAACAACAATAGAAAAATATCAATGTCGAAGCTAGTCCAAATCACTAACAAAACACAACACCAAAATGGAGCTTGAAATGGTCTAATATAACAGTTCAAACCACGCTGCAAATCACTTTAATGTTATACTTAATATACAACGTCAATGATATACTTACATATACATATTAATATAACAATTGTAAAGCATAAATTATTTGTTATTGCATAATAGATATAACGTGCGACGTGTAAAAGTTTAAGCTCAAACACTAGGCGCATGCTTACAATAAATTTAAAACCAGGATTGTAACATTTTCCAGCCACTATTATAACTTTTATTTATTCCTATTGAAAATTAGGATATAGTTATGTCATTTAAAAAATATTTCCCACTTCCTTCTTCATAACCACTTGTCAGGTACGTAAGCACGCAAATGATAAATATGGCGCCCTATTCTTCCGAAACATTAATGTACTACTGGTTACCACGATATTATTACTTTAATAGATATCTATACCTCTCATATGATGTTTTATCTTTTGATTTCGTAATTTTCTATTTGCTATCATATACAACAATTCAAATTAAACCCTTTTAAAATAGTAGGATACAAATCTTTATATATGTTTGATTTATTAATTAAATCTTTAAATCCAGCGCTTAAATCTGACTCGTGAAGAAACTGGCCTGTAGTGTCTGAATGTTATTCAAACTATACATTTTTGGGCCTTTAAAAAATGTGACATATTTGATGGAACAAGATTCTTGAATGCTTCTTACGAACCATGTAGAAATCCAAAACTTATATTAAATAGTTTCCATATTCATTTGACATATTTATCAAAAAAAGCAGTGTGTATTTTAGGGCATTACACGTTAAATGTAAGTGGACGCTAAATTCAAATATAGTATCAAGTAGTACAATAGTTTATTGCTTTAGAGCTTAAAATTATATTGTAAAATGATAGGACGTTGGTGGAAAGAAATTAATTTTCATCCATATGATATAATATTTCGGTTCTCTTCACGTGATATTTCAACATAAAAATTCCAGTTTACGAAAAAATGTTTTCATTGGGTTACATTTGTATGTATAAATAAAATTTAAAAGAAGAGTGTGTTTACAGACAATCTATGACTGATAAAACATTCCAACCTTACACAGCTTCAGACAGTTTTTAAGATAAATCCTCTTAGGTTGGGTTATACCGACGAATCCCCTTTTCCAGCGAGTGAACCGTACGAAATTGAAAATATATTCACTTCCACCAATGTATCTATAAAAATATATGTGTATATAGAATAATTTTCTTGTGTATACATGAAAACTCTATTGAGCTATGAATTTACATTGGCCCAGGCATATGTAAACATAATCGAATGTAATAAAAACTGAAATAATTATCATTTAAACATCATATCGATTCAATAAAATTATATATTAAAAATTATATTAGTATCTGGTAACTAAAGTGCAGTAACTAAACGCGGGGTGTTCTGTGAAGCACTTGTCGATATTTTATTTAGTTATGGTTTTTATTTTTATTCGGGAATGTGTTAAGTTGATGAATTTGATAAAAACTTCTAATTGTTTTGTATATAAGTAGGCAATGGAAAATGATATAATTTTGCATTATAATTTTTAATATTTAGAAAAAGTGGGCCAATGTAATGTTCCCATTCCTTGGTTTAAAACTCAATTTTGGTTTTCTAAATTGTTCCGTCCAATTATATTTTCTTTTATTTTTAACCAAGACAATAGTTCTTAAAGGCGAATATTATATATCTATATTCAACATACTCACAAACATTGTTTTGTTATTCTAGTCAATCATTGTTTTTTTTATAATTAATATATATATATTTATATAAATAAAGTACAAGCTTCCTTTTGTTTATGTTTTGTGTTACGCAGAATCAAGTGTCAGTATTTAGATTGATAACCACTTTACCCTTGAAGTTTGATTCAAACGATACATACATCAATATTGTCCAAATATCACGTTATATATTTCATTATAGATCATAAGTTGCTTAAATATAGGCTATATTACTGATGAAATACCTTGAATTTTAATGGCTATTTTCAATGAGAAATCTACGGATTCCATAGAATAGTAACTTCATATTCTAAGGTTTTCTAATACAAAAATGTCAACTTCTCCAAAAATTTTGCACAGAAAAAATGAAATAAAAATATATATGCATACCTAAAAACCTTATCAAATAAATGTGTTTAAATTTTTGGTTTTGCATGATAAAGAAGTTTAAGCGACTTGAAGCTCGATGGCGCCAATGTATATACTTACCGTCAATTCCGTAAGAGTGAGAAAAGCTAATAGCGCCCGAATAGCGGGTGGTACCTTTGTATATCTCTGCTAAAACGTGAAAGTATAGAGATGGCGAAATGTGCACCATTAGGATCTTAATACACCCTATATACCCTGCATATTTTCTGGGCTTTGTGATACATTGTACGGAATATAATTCTTATCAAGGCCATACTACGTCTTGAAGGGATGTCTAAATCGAATTTTACATACTTGCCTTTATAGTAAGTTGAACTCCGAGTGCTAGAAATTAGTCGGTTTGAATAGATTATCATTAACTTCAATAGGGTTCGGCCTATACCTGAAAAAACTGAACTTTGCAAGATGCTAACTCATAGCAGAGACATGCTTTAATCGACATAGTCTATTAAAATTATCAAAACTAACCATTGGTCTATATCGCCTCCTTCTCAAAGGTATAATAACTTGAACCACGGCTTAGTGTAGGACATGATAGAAGTTTTTTAATTGCTTTAACCTACCACAAAATTTAAAAAGGAAAAATTATTTATTATTTTTTTTTTACTTTTAGGAATTAAATGCCTGAGTAGGAAGCATTATTTTCGATGTCCAAAAAAGTCTAAGCAGTTTTCAACAACAATAGAAAAATACCAATTTCGAAGCTAATTCAAATCACTAACAAAACACAACACCAAAATGGAGCATGAAATGGTCTAATATATCAGTTCAAACCACGCTGCAAATCACTTTAATGTTATACTTAATATACAACGTCAATGATATACTTACATATACATAATAATTTAACAATTGTAAAGCATAAATTATTTGTTATTGCATAATAGATCTAACGTGCGACGTGTAAAAGTTTAAGCTCAAACACTAGACGTATGCCTACAATAAATTTAAAACCAGGATTGTAACATTTTCCAGCCACTGTTATAACTTTTATTTATTCCTATTGAAAATTAGGAGATAGTTATGCCTGTTAAAAAATATTTCCCACTTCCATCTATCTTCATAACCACTTGTCAGGTACGTAAGCACGCAAATGATAAATATGGCGCCCTATTCGTCCGAAACATTGATGTACTACTGGTTACCACGATATTATTACTTTAATAGATATTTATACCTCTCTTATGATGTTTTATCTTTTAATTTCGTAATTTTCTATTTGCTATCATATACAACAATTCAAATTAAACCCTTTTAAAAAATATCGGATACAAATCTTTATATATTTTCGATTTATTAATTAAATCTTTAAATCCAGCGCTTAAATCTGACTCGTGAAGAAACTGGCCTGTAGTGTCTGAATGTTATTCAAACTATACATTTTTGGGCCTTTAAAAGAATGTTACATATTTGATGGAACAAGATTCTTGAATGCTTCTTACGAACCATGTAGAAATCCAAAACTTATATTAAATAGTTTGCATATTCATTTGATATATTTATCAAAAAAGCAGTGTATATTTTAGGGCATTACACGTTAAACGTAAGTGGACGCTAAATTCAAATATAGTATCAAGTAGTACAATAGTTTATTGCTTTAGAGCTTAAAATTATATTGTAAAATCATAGGACGTTGGTGGAAAGAAATTAATTTTTATCCATATGATATAATATTTCGGTTCTCTTCACGTGATATTTCAACATAAAAAATCCAGTTTACGAAAAAATGTTTTCATTGGGTTACATTTGTATGTATAAATAAAATTTAAAAGAAGAGTGTGTTTACAGACAATCTATGACTGATAAAACATTCAACCTTACACAGCTTCAGATAGTTTTTAAGATAAATCCCCTTAGGTTGGGTTATACCGACGAATCCCCCTTTCCAGCGAGTGAACCGTACGAAATTGAAAATATATTCACTTCCACCAATGTATCTATAAAAATATATGTGTATATAGAATAATTTTCTTGTGTATACATGAAAACTATGAATTTACATTGGCCCAGGCATATGTAAACATAATCGAATGTAATAAAAACTGAAATAATTATCATTTAAAAATCATATCGATTAATAAAATTATATATTAAAAATTATGTTAGTATCTGGTAATTAAAGTGCAGTAACTAAACGCGGGGTGTTCTGTGAAGCACTTGTCGATATTTTATTTAGTTATGGTTTTTATTTTTATTCGGGAATGTGTTAAGTTGATGAATTTGAAAAAAAAAAAACTTTCAATTGTTTTGTATATAAGTAGGCAATGGAAAATGATATAATTTTGCATTGTAATTTTTAATATATAGAAAAAGTGGGCCAATGTAATGTTCCCATTCCTTGGTTTAAAACTCAATTTTGGTTTTCTAAATTGTTCCGTCCAATTATATTTTCTTTTATTTTTAACCAAGACAATAGTTCTTAAAGGCGAATATTATATATCTATATTCAACATACTCACAAACATTGTTTTGTTATTCTAGTCAATCATTGTTTTTTTATAATTAATATATATATATATATATATATATATATATATATATATATATATATATATATATATATATATATATATATATATATTTATATAAATAAAGTACAAGCTTCCTTTTGTTTATTTTTTTGTGTTTCGCAGAATCAAGTGTCAGTATTTAGATATATATCACGTTATATATTTCATTATAGAACATAAGTTGCTTAAATATAGGCTATATTACTGATAAAATACCTTGAATTTTAATGGCTATTTTCAATGAGAAATCTACGGATTTCATAGAATAGTAACTTCATATTCTAAGGTTTTCAAATACAACTTTTCCAAAAATTTTGCACAGAAAAAATGAAATAAAAATATATATGCATACATATAAACCTTATCAAATAAATGTGTTTAAATTATTGGTTTTGCATGATAAAGAAGTTTAAGCAACTTTAAGCTCGATGGCGCCAAAATTTAAATACCCAACCATAAGAAATATAAAAATCTTTAAAAATAAGAGTAACGAGAGTGAGCAAATTCAATTAATAATGTTACATCCAGTAATATCAGTTACCGAATGTGGGCTAAGTCATAACC